TTTGTTGGGGTGTGCTTCTATAAAGAAAGGTGAAATTTGGTGGAGGGAGAAATTTAAAATTTCAGGTAGCCTTAACATCCACTAATTTTATTTTCTCTAGCCACTCATTCCATACCCAGTTGTCTTCAAGTCTTAAAAATTCTGCCTTTTAATTTGTTCTCTATCCCCATTCACTGGTATATAGAACTACTTATTTGCCTGTCTTCCTTGCCCACCACAGGAGTCTTTTTCATCTTCATTACTTCAATAACTAACCCAGGCCCTGACATTGGATAGTTTCTAAATGAGTATCAATGATATTAGGAGGTAAGGATGTGTGTACTGGTGCAGTTTAACAGATAAGAAAGCCAAAGCCTGAGTGACTTACCGAAGTCTAGTAATGGCAAGGATAGGATTCAAACTCATGTCTTCTAGTACTTCTTCCAGTATTCCCTTTGCTAAGCTATGACATACTTTCACCACAAAAATAGGATGAGTAGTTTCACTTTGAGAGTGGAAGGGAAAGAACTGTTCATGGTGAGACAATTCAGTTGTACGAATTGTCTGGAATTTGGCTGCCAACCTGCACAGGCTAGTAAAAAAGAAGACAGCTATTCACAGTAAAAATTTTTTTGGAATATCAAATTACTTCACTTTACACAGTAACAAAATTCTTGTATAAAACACATGTAAATTAAGTTATAAGTTAAAGCCTCTCCCCCATCACTCTCCACCTCTCCTTATTTTGACTGATACAGATAATTTCAGAGCTTTATAGACTCACACATTTCTAAACAAGAAATACTTAGGCTGGGCATGGTGTCTTACACTTGTAATCCTAGCACTTTGGGAGGCCAAGATGGGAGGATCTCTTGAGCCCAAGGGTTTGAGATCAGCCTGGGCAACATAGGGAGACCCTATCTCTCCAAAAAAAAAAAATTTTAAAAAGTTAGTGAGGGCCGGCTGTGGTGGCTCAAACCTGTAATCCCAGCACTTGGGGAGTCCAACGTGGGCAGATTGCCTGAGCTCGGGAGTTCGAAACCAGCCTGGGCAACATGGCGAAACCCCGCTCTACTAAAAATACAAAAAATTAGCCGGGCGTGGTGTCAGGCGCCTGTAATCCCAGCTACTCTGGAGGCTGAGGCAGGAGAATCGCTTGAACCTGGGAAGTGGAGATTGCAGTGAGCTGAGATCACACCACTGTACTCCAGCCTGGACAACAGAGCGAGACTCTGTCTCAAAAAAGAAAAAAAAAGTTAGCCAGCCGTGGTGGCACATGCCTGTAGTCCCAGCTACTCAGAAGGCTCAGGTAGGAGGGTCACTTGAGGCTGGGAGTTCAAGGCTGCAGTGAGCTGTGATCGTGCCACTACACTTCAGCCTGGGCAATAGAGCAAGACTCTGTCTCTTAAAAAAAAGAAAAGAAAAGAAATACTTCTCTTTTTATTACCAAGGAATAGCAAGTTGGTCTACAGATACTTGAATGCCAAATATGCTGTATGGGCTCTGTGCATATATGTAATTTTTTTATCCAAAGTAATCTTATCAAGACTCACACAAGGCTGGGTGCAGTGGCTCACAACTGTACAAATCCCAGCACTTTGGGAGGCCAAGGAGGCCAATGGCTCAAGCTCAGGACTTTGAGACCAGCCTGGGCAACGTGACAAAACCGTGTCTCTACAAAAATACAAAAATTAGCTGGGTATGGTGGTGCGCACCTGTAGTCCCAGCTACCTGGGAGGCCAAGGTAGCAAGATCGCTTGAGCCCAGGAGGTGGAGGCTGCGGTGAGCTGAGATCACACCACTGCACTTCAGCCTGGGTGATAGAGCAAGACCCTGTCTCAAAACAACAACAACAACAAAAAGACATACAATTTATAACTAAAGTAAACTTCAGAAATCAGATGGTCCAACACCCTCATTTTATACTTAAAAGATACCAAGGTTGAGACATGTTGATTTATCTAATTAGTTAGTGAGGACACAGAGCTAGAACCTCCATCTAATCTTATCTCTATTACTCTTTGATCCTGAAGAAAACTTATATATAATGAATAATTACCTCCTGATGATTCTGAGGTATTTTCTTGGTGAGTTTTTTTTGTTGTTGTTGTTTTTTGGGGGGGGGGGGATTTTCCTACGTGGCTTTTGTTTGAAGGAGGAAGATATATAAAATTATTGACATTAAATAGTTGTCCTAGCGGAATTCTGAGGCTATGACTAAGGTCCAAGGAAACCTTTTAGTGTTCTGCTTCTCCTGTTTCTGGTGTTGTGGAGAGCTTGACCCAATGAGACCTGCTTGTATTGCTGTTCGTGCTGCTGTTTCTGGCCTTCCAGTGCTCAAATGGCAGGAGCTTTCTGTGATATTTTGAATTTTCATCTGCTGACAAACCAGAAAATACAAGGCAGACTACCCACAGGAAATTTATATAAGAGTTTGCAAGTAAAACTTCCTTCCAGTTTGCCTTGAAAGTAACACAGTGTTGGTGAGATGGTCAGATTCTCCCAAATATAAGCCAGACTGCCTTCCCCTCACCACCCCACCCCTTTTTGAAGTTCTGCTCTCTTGTTAATAGACCATTAATGATGTAGTAACAAAATGTAAATGCCCTGACCCTAAAGTGATATGATGAGGCAGTGTCTGCAGAAGAGATCAGGACCAGATAAAGATACCACACAGTTCACAGATGGCTTTTAAATTGTTTTTCAAATGAGAGAAACATATATGTTTTTAAAACTCTCTTTTTAGTTTTTCCCACAAATATAATCATAGTGAAGCAGTCTGGGCGTTATATAAAACAAGAAGCCCAGGAACTATGAAAGGCTGCTCTAGTCTGAGATTATATCCTAAAAGTTCAAAGTTTTATAGGGAACCCCTGAAGAAACAGAGGATATAAAAAGGATTTAGAGAAGCTGGGCACAGTGGCACGTGCCTTTGGTCCCAGCTACTTGGGAGGCTGAGGTGGGATGATCACTTGAGCCCTGCCTCGGCAACATAGCAAGACTCCATTTCTTTAAGAAAAAGAAGCAGCAGCAGCACTTAGAGCTAATGGGAAGAGATCAGATCCAGATAAAATATAGTTTATGGCACTTGAGTCTCTTCACTTTCCCAATCTTAGTGAAGGTCAGGGGTCATTACTCCTAAAGTTAGGTTTTCTTTAGGCTAGGCTTTGACTTTTTTTTGTTTTTAGAATCTCATTCTGTCACCCAGGCTAGAGTGCAGGGGCATAAGCACGGCTTACTGCAGCCTCAACCTCCTAGGCTCAAGCAATCCTCTCACCTCAGCTGTCTGAGTAGCTGGGACTACAGGCATGTACCACCAGGCCTGGCTAATTTTTAAGTTTTTTGTAGCAATGGCATCTCACAATGTTTCCCAGGCTGGTCTCAAACTTGCAAGCTCAAGCAGTCCTTCTGCCTCGGCCTCCCAAAGTGCTGGGATTACAAATGTAAGCCACCGCACCCAGCCTTAGCCTTTGACTTTATTGTTATTTGAGTTGATTTTCATAGGCTTTGACCTACCAAACTTTCTGACCACAGAAAGGTTACAAGTAGACGCCAGGTCTAAAACTCATTAGGAAAATCATTTACCCCACTAAGAGATTAGTTTGTTTTTTTTTAAGTGGTGTGAAAGTCAAGCCAATAATAATTTGGCCATAAGTCTAGAACTTTCAAAGCTTGAGGAAAAAATTCTCTGCCATGCGGTTATATTAAGCATTGGAAGACAGGGAGTGTCTAAACATTTTTTGTCACCTTCCTTAATTCTGCCTTTTTTACGTTAGAGATAAAGAATTTACTTGTGTGAGAGACAGAGCAATGATGCCATTTACCTGCTCTGTCCCCTGACGCTTCTAGCAGTAAAATGGAAGCTTTATAAGCCCTATGGCTTCTCAGGTCGTTAAAGCCACCTCTCTGCTTCACGGAAGTCAGATATGGCCATGTGGATATGCCTACCACTTACGAAGGCAATTATTGAGTGAGAAATCAATGCTAAAGACAATTCAAATTGAACCAATGGTGTCAAAACCAGTGGTGTACTTTATTAAAGGTTCTGTAAGTTCTTGCATGTCCTTTGGCTCCTTTAGGACTAGTATCTCAGCACCTTTTATGGTAATGTCATAAGACATAGTTCACATGCTTATAGTTTACGTGCTTTGCATGTGACCCAGGTTTTAAAACCTTTCAATCTTTTGTCTCCCACCCCTAGGCGTGTTTGATTATCATTCTTGCCAAAGCATTTAAGATGTAAGGCTAAAACCCGTTTTTGGCCATGCTCTGAGCCCACATTGTTTCTATAACCTCAAGCTTCTGTACCTCATTGGGGGTTTTGGGCTTTATTTTGAAGCCTCCTGTGTACCCATGATAAATAAATGTGCATGCCTTTTCTCCTATTTAAAAAAAAAAAAAAAAAAAAAAGATGGCTAGCAGGAGTGCCATATTTACAATTCGTTTTCATTTCTTTATAGGCTCTTTTGTGCTTTCCCCTACAGTGGGTAATCATGCAATATAAAAATATACGGGGCCAGACGTGGTGGCTCACGCCTGTAATTTCAGCACTTTGGGAGGCCGAGGCGGCAGATCACTTGAGGTCAGGGGTTCGAGATCAACCTGGCCAATATGGTGAAACCCCCATCTCTACTAAAAATGCAAAAATTACCTGAGCGTGGTGGCACACACCTGTAATCCCAGCTACTCAGGAGGCTGACCACAGAAGAATTGCTTGAACCTGGAAGGCAGAGGTTGCAGTGAACCGAGATGGCGCCACTGCACCCTAGCCTGGGCAAGAGAGCGAGACTCCATATCAAAAGAATAAATAAATAATAAAATAAAAAAATAAAAATGCTATGGGAAGTTAGTAACAATTGTTGCTTTTGAAGACTGGTTAATGAAGGGAAAACTCATTCTCTTCGAGTTTAGACACACATTGCCTTTTGAGCTGAGTACTTACCTTGTCATAAGTTGGCTGTATTCCATAGCTGTTTACACAGAGACTCACTTAAATATTTGAATTTTTAATTTTTTCACAGCCATCTCTTCCTGTACTCTATACCCTGTCTAGCCAGGCTACACATGAAGCTGTTCATCTCCTTTGCAGGATGTTGGTCTTTGATCCAGTAAGTAGTGTTTGTTTTTATGTATTTTTAACGAATTACAAATACATGTGTTCGAGAGAAACAGTGTGGTTTTGAATAGATTGGCAATGTAAATAATTACTTTTCAAAACATAAACTTCAATCCCCCATATCATATGTATCATGCACGCTCATCACACAGAAGTTTGATTATTAACACATAAGAATCTAGGGGAAGAGATAAGGAGCTGGATCTTATGTACCTCTTATTTCTTATCTCAATATTTGTAAAAGGAATTTGACACCAAGTTAAATCAAGACAAAATAATTTTTTGTTTGTTTTGAGACAAGGTCTTGCTCTGTCACCCAGGCTGGAGTGCAGAGGTGTGATCTCAGCTCACTGTACCCTCAACCCCTCAAGCAGTCCTCCTACCCCAGCCCCTTGAGTAGCTGGGACTACAAACATGCTCAGCTGATTTTTAAGTATTTTGTAGAGAAGAGGTCTCACTATATTGCTCAGGCTGGTTTGAACTCTTGGGCTCAAGTGATCCTTTTGCCTCGGCCCCCCAAAGTGCTGGGATTACAGATGTGAGCCACCACGCCCAGCTAGGACACAAAGTTTTTTAAGATTATTTGAAAAAAATCTGACCATTATATTGCATAAGAAAATGTTTGCTCTGGGTTTTTGAGATGGAAGCTTTTCCCAATACCCTTTCTGGACTTGACTCTTCTGGAACATACTACAAATTATACTGTAAGTTCAGCTCTTCATTTATTCATTCATCCAAAGAATATTTATTATTCATATCTAAGCCGATAACTATTGTCAAAGAAGACTTACAAATGGAAGCGTTTAGAAAAGAAAATTTAACTTGCCGAGAATACAAAGTCACCGAATACAAAAAATACCAGATATTTAAAAGATAAAACAACCACAAAATTACCAGAGTTACTAAGTTTACGTTGGTCCATTTGTAGTGAGAAAGCTGCAACTTTCTCAGAAGATATCAAATTCACAATCCTTCAGACATCAGCACAGCAAAAATTAGGGATAAAAATAATTCTGTTAGAGTCCTGGTTTGTGAGAAACAGTCAAGGTTTTTTTATTTGGGGGACCAGAACCAATTAGGGTGACCCAAGTTATTTTTGTAATGTCTCAGGGTACAATTTAGATTGCTTATGTGTTTATTTTGGTGTTTTTTGCTGCTGTTTTCTGTTTTTTACTGTGGTATATTAGTCCGTTTTCATGCTGCTGATAAAGACATACCCAAGACTGGGCAATTTACAAAAGAAAGAGGTTTAATTGGACTTACATTCCCACATGACTGGGAAGCCTCACAATCATAGTGGAAGATGAGGAGGAGCAAGTCACGTCTTACATAGATGACAGCAGGCAGAGTCAGAGCTTATGCAGGGAAACTCCCCTTTTTAATACTGTCAAATCTCATGAGACTTACTGTCACGAGAACATCACAGGAAAGACCTGCCTCCATGATTCAGTTACCTCCCACCAAGTCCCTCCCATAGCACCTGGGAATTCAAGATGAGATTTGGGTGGGGACACAGCCAAACCATACCATGTGGTATGTGAAGTGCTTAGTGATACTATAGGCCTGACAAAGGCATATATTCTTATGGAATATTCTTATGGAACCTATATAAGTAACTACACAGTCCATTTAAAAATAAAGAAATTAGGCTGAGCATAGGGCACAGTGACTCACACTTATAATCCCAGCACTTTAGGAGGCTGAGGCGGGAGAATTCCCTGAGCCCAGGAGCTTAAGACCAGCCTGGGCAACTTAGGGATTAACAAAATTAAAAATTTTTTAAATTAGCTAGGCGCGGTAGCACTTGCCTGTAGTCCCACCTACTCAGGAAGCTGAGGTGGGAGGATGGCTTGAGCCCAGGAGGTTAAGGCCAAGGCCACAGTGAGCCATGAGCTCCCCATTGTACTCCATCCTGGCAAGGGAGACAGAGCGAAACGCTGTCTCAATAAGAAAGAAATTAATTTATTTAATGCACACTACATAATAAATAACCGTTTTTATCACTGTGTTATTAACAAAGCCAACAAGTTTGTTACTTTGTTACAGAATTATTTTTAAATTGGCCTGATGCTTTATTCGCTTTTGATCTATATTAAGGATTTTTTTTTTTATTTCCAGTTCTGAGAGTTCAATCAGAACAAGAAACCATTTAAAGAAAGTTTTTTCCTGATTGTAACCTGTTAAATTGAAAGTCAGAAATACATTAAGAAGGAAATGAGGTGTGTGTGTGTGTCAGGGTCTCACTCTGTGGCCCAGGCTGGAGTACAGTGGCATGATCTCGGCTCACCACAACCTCCACCTCCTGGGTTCAAGAGATTCTCCTGCCTCAACCTCCCGAGTACCTGGGATTACGGATGTGTGCCACCACACCCACCTCATTTATTTTTATATTTTTGGTATAAACAGGATTTCACTATGTTGGCCAAGCTGGTCTCGAACTCCTGACCTCAAGTGTTCCACCTGCCTCGGCCTCCCAAAGTGCTGGGATTACAGGCATGAGCCACTTTTTAAATATCCATGAAGAACAGACCATTGACCATATTTAAATCAGTGTATTTATTTAGTTCATTTAGTCAGAGGTAACTAGTTATTCTTGTTTTGTTCATCTTGGGTTAAGCAGTCTACTGCCATGGCATGTCTGCTCCTGGACTGAAATGCTGACTCAATTACTTGATTGAGTCTAAAAGGCAGGTGTCTGTGGTGAGATACACAGACACACTCACACACACACACTCTCTCTCTCTCTCTCTCTCTCTCTCCATCCGTAATCTGGATAACAACATAAATGACCTGACCTCAGTGACAGGTCACCGTCAAAAAGCAGGCATACAACACACAGTTTGTTCAGTATCCTCAAGGGAAAAAAGACCCTCCAGCCTCCTTCAGCTGTGATTCTGTCTTCCCCAAGCATATCCAGATTCCCCCATGCAAGTGTCCCCACAAAGGGTAATAAAATGGCATATGTGCAGGCCAGATGCACCAATGACAGGTTCCCCACAATGTCCCACATGCTGCCAAGACCTATGGGCATTACTTATTGTATTTTTTGCCTATTCTGTGCTCTTTGGAGTAAAAGTATTATTGAAAATGTCAAAAAGTCCTGCAGATAACCCAGCAGATAACTGATTTTTTTAAAAAGAGGAAGCATTTATGTTTATCTATAGCACAGAATGCCAAGCTATTGGAGAAACTGGACAGCGGTGTAAGTGTGAAACATCTTACAGACAAATATGTTGTTGGAATGATCACTGTATATAACCTAAAGGAACAGAAAGATAAACTGTTGAAGTTGTGTCCTGAAACTCATGAACAGAAGTTAATGAAAAATAGAAGGAAGGGGAAGCCCAGAGCTCAGAGGGGCCCAGGATCAGGCACGTATACTGTCAGCCTACTTGTTCCTTTGGGTTCAAACAGTGGAACACTATCCCAGTGGAATCTCTAGGAATAGCTGTCAAAGGACTAGGACTTTTTTAGAAAAAAAGAAAAGGAAAAAGGTTACTTGCTAAAAATGCAGGGAAGTCAGACTTCAAAAGAGCTAGATCACCAAATACAAAACATAAATTTATTGAAAGGAAAAAAAAACAAGGTTATCAAGTATACATTTGCCTGTTCATGGTAGATAAACACCCGCTTTCTTCTGTGATTATCTTATCTTGAAAGGTCATAATATGCCTTTTTACTTCAGCATAGCGAAAATCAGAGATAAAAGTGTTTTTAGGAAATCCAGGTTTATGAGAAACATATTATTATTTGGGGACCAGAACAGTTGTTTTTGGTTTATTTGAGAACAAAAGTGGTTTTCATTCTTAAATTGTGTAATGTAAAGTGCTTGGTCATATTGGAATCAGGGCAAAGTGTGTGTTCTTGTTTTTGTCCTACTCTTTACTATTGAGTTCATGCTTAAATCTTTAAAATTTACTTTCAGTAGTACACATATGTCTACTGAGCTAAAAGAAGGGACAGTTTCTTTAATTTTTTTCATGGAGTAATGTTAAAAGTTTAGATTTTTCAGGCAAACTTAAAACTCGTATATTAAGTATTCTGATCTAAAGTGACAGAAAATTACTAGGCGCAGTAGCTCATGCCTGCAGTCCCAGCACTTCAGGAGGCCAAGACTGGAGGCCAGAAATTCAAGAATACAGTGAAACCCCATCTCTACGAAAAATTTAAAAAATAGAGTGCCAGAAAACAAAAAGATAGACTAGATTCCTGATATTCAGACTGAGCTATATCTCAAAACATGGCAGTCAGACCACTATCTGCTGCCTAACTCCAGCAGCTTTTGCCATCATCCATTTGGTATTCTAAGAGAATAAAAATTTCAAGCAGCTTTGAAAATTGCCACTGTGAACACATCTTCTGGATGCTGACACATATTTAGAAAATATAGCCTGTTATTTAAAAGGTAAACATAACCCCTTCAAAGCGCTACATAGTTAAATGTCATGATATTTGTGATTTTTGACCCTGCATACATCTATTTCAATGTAGTAATTTCTCAGAATTTTAGAAGCAAGGCACTTCTAAGTACTTTATGATGGTAGATAATAACAGTAGTTGTCCTAAATCGTACACTCCCTCTGCTACTATGTTACCCACCTCTAAATTCAATTATCCCTCTTTGGACGTGATGTACTATAAATTATATATATGCTGTGTAAAGCAGTTAATGTGTCTTTTGAAAGATCCTATGTGAACAGTCATATTTATCTGTAGTGTTGATGTGCTGGTCTCTAATTTGATTTCAGTCCAAAAGAATATCCGCTAAGGATGCCTTAGCCCACCCCTACCTAGATGAAGGGCGACTACGATATCACACATGTATGTGTAAATGTTGCTTTTCCACCTCTACTGGAAGAGTTTATACCAGTGACTTTGAGCCTGTTACCAATCCCAAATTTGATGACACTTTTGAGAAGAACCTCAGTTCTGTCCGACAGGTTAAAGGTGAGTATCTGTTTTGGCCTTCGGCCAGGCAATAGGCCTAGTAACATTTTCCATTCGGTGGCCATGAAGAGCTGAGATCTGGATGGTAACCAAAGCTCCCCTCTATGTTTATTTTACAACCTTGCATATACCTATGTGTCCAGGGCATAACAAAGCATATTTAATATTATATCCAGGCGAAGGTTGGGGAGATGAATGAATATTTTGTTCTTATTTTCAAAGTTTATTTAGTGAGTATGACTCAAAATATGTTTAATATGTATTCACTCAATGTCATCTCATTGATTCAAACGTATTGAACTTCTTTATATAACAGTTATGCTCCATAGAGCATAAACATTCACTGTGGGAATTATTCCTTGGATGATGACAAGAGAAGGGAATTTCTGATAGTGTACTCATAAAATTTTGTGGCAGGATCTCCTATTGGGATACAGTGGGAGTAATGACATCCAAACTTCTGAGTGATTTTAGTGTCTACTGTAGGACATTTTACAAGAGAGAGGGTAGTCCCCAAAGTAACCACCTGAAACTATACACCTAGATACAAACTGAGGTCTTTAAGTGATCTTCAAAAAGGCAATAATTGCCAGCAACTTAGAAGAGTTCACTCATAATGCCAAACTTGTGAAGTCTCTCTCAAATTTATAGACCATTTTACTCTTCCCACTGATGGGGTTGCAGTCTGCGTAATGCCACTAGTACGTTTCTTGCTTATATTTAGCAACAGCTGTCATTTTAGTTTTAGGAAGTTCAGCTGAATTCTGCTTGATAGATGATGTGTGTGTTTGATTCAACTAAATCAGTAGGAAATGCTTTTCAGATGCTGGCTAGAGTTAGCTGAGAATTCACTGCTCCCGGGCTTGCAAATTATCATGGATTGTGTGATGTTTGTTTTCTCCACAGAAATTATTCATCAGTTCATTTTGGAACAGCAGAAAGGAAACAGAGTGCCTCTCTGCATCAACCCTCAGTCTGCTGCTTTTAAGAGCTTTATTAGGTAACTATATGTATTTCTAACATTCTTATTAGAATTAAAAGGATGCCAGTGTTACTTCATTATTCAGCATTTTTCTGTTTTTATTTAGATAACATAGATAAAAGATGCAACAGAAAGTTTCTGTTATGAGGTTTGGCTTTAGTCAAAAGTGTATTAAAACTGTAAGCATCTGGGCTGGGTGCAGTAGCTCATGCCTATAATCCCAGCACTTTGGGAAGCCGAGACAGACAGACCACCTGAGGTCTGGAGTTTGAGACCAGCCTGACTGACATGGAGAAACCTCGTTTCTACTAAAAATACAAAATTAGTCAGGTGTGGTGGTGCATGCCTGTAATCCCAGCTACTCAGGAGGCTGAGGCAGGAGAATCACTTGAACCCAGGAGGCAGAGGTTTCAGTGAGCCGAGATCGCACCATTGCACTCCAGCCTAGGCAACAAGAGCAAAACTCCATCTCAAAGGAAAAAAAAAAAAACACCATAAGCATCACATTTTACACTGGTGCCAGTTGACTGTGGTTGCTTTGGCGATTTTTTCCCCAGATGACCATTGTGCTGCCTCATCAGGTACGTGGCGATCCTACTGCAGCATTAGTACGGTGGCCACCTGTCCTGGAGTTAGACGTGGTCATCTCAGTTCCCACTACCATTCCCACTCCCTAGTAATAACTGCAAGCAAGAAAATAATTTTTGTATGTGCAGGTGGACTGCTGGTGTAGCCTATTTAGAGGAGAAGTCAAAAGGCTTAGTGTAGCCTATTTAGAGAAGTCAAAAGGCTTATGGTAGAGCTATGAACCTATGTTGGAAGTTACCAGGCTTCATTCTCCTTGTCTTTCTGTCCTTTCCTTCTCTTGATCTCTTTTTCCTTAACTCCTTATATATTGATCAGGGTCTAGTCAGGAGAAATAAACCATTTCCCTATAATATGAATGGGGAAAATTCAGTAATAAGAATTGTTAACAAGGAAAGATGATCAACTGCTAAAAGGCATAAAGAGGATTCTGAAGGCTGCTGAAGTAGCAAATGCAGAAAGCAGCCACTCCCTGTAGACTGAGGAGAGTAAACAAGAAAGAAATTAAGAAAATTAAGAATTTAGAAGAGGGTCCTCCATGTAAGGACCTCTTTGGAGAGGGTATGGCTGCCACAGAAACAGGAACACACAGCACAAGGGTGGTGCGGAAGAGGAAGTGTGCCAGCAGGTGTGGGCAGAACTGGTCCATCAAAGACCGCCTGCCAGGAGAGTTCGGGTGGACCAAAGCTGAGCCTTCCACATGACCAAAAAAAAGCACAACAAACCAAGGAAGGGAGACTGCTTCCTGATGCTACAGCCTTGCAAATGCCCTTCCAGCACCCTGTGTTGACAAAAGCTAACATTAAGCTAGGTGGAAAAGGGGAACCATGAACAGGGTCTGGCTCCAGTATCACAAAGCAGGACAAAGGGTGGATTCCGATCTGAGTCGTGACAGTCTCTATCTTCCCTGCTGCCTTGCTCCTCTCCTTTTTCTCTCTCCCTGATGCTCTTTCCCTTTAATCATATTAAAGTTGGTTGGATTTGTTGGGCCGCAGTCAAGATTTTATGCTTAAAGTTTGTAAAATCGAGTGACTTGCATTTCTTCCATGTATTTTTCTATTGGAAGAAAGAGTTAAGTTGCATTTTTATTTATCTGTGGTTTTAAATTACTTTGTTTTACTATTTTCCCCTAAGAGTCAGTGACCCAGTCAGTTAGGCAGTTTAACGGCTTAGGTGCAAATGATCCTGGGCCTTGGGGAAACAAGGGGTTATACTTTTCCCTCTCAAGTTTGTAATCTAATTAGCAACCTTAGACATAGGAAAAAGCCAATAACAGATCTGTGGATAACCAATGCTAAATGATTACCTATACTTCTCCATTAATATTTGATAAAAGAATGCTTATAAGGCCCATTCAAAATAGGCCACTGTATTTTGAGAGGCTACTTTTAAATGGATAATTCTACATCCCTTAAGGTTATTTTCCTGATTGATTATTGAAATTATTACTTGTAATACCTACATTTACTTTACACTTTCAAGTAGGCACTGTGGAAAAACACTTCACATCTATTATCATTTATTCATCACAGTATCCTATGAGGTAAACAGCATCATTCCTTTCCAAATGAGAAGAGATTAAGGCACTTGCTCAGTGCCATACAACTAGTAAATGACATATTGTTTTCGAGCCTGCATATTAACCACTATACCAGATTGCCTCTCCATAGATAACAGGTCCATAAACAAGCAACTTAGAGCAAATTCAACTTCAAAGAAACAAATAAAAATCCAGAAGTGGACTTAATTTTTTCAGAGGAAGAGAGGAAAACAGGTAGTAGTGAATTACCCTTTTGTCCATTGTGACATTACAACTAATTTCTCCATCTCTGTTTTCTTCCAGTTCCACTGTTGCTCAGCCATCTGAGATGCCCCCATCTCCTCTGGTGTGGGAGTAATGGTGGAAGATAATGTACTACTGAAGATGTAATGTAGCTTTCCACTGGAGTCTGGGATTTGCAATTCTGGAGGTTAATCATGCTTGTACTGTAATTTTACTAATGAAGTTTTAAATTAACAACCACTACTTGTATGATATGAATAATATTTAGAAATGTTACTAGACTTTTAATCTTGTAAAGTGGTTGTGCTTTTAGAAGAAAAATATTTTACCCAGAGTTGCACATGTTTTATGAATTTAGTGCAGCTGTTGTGGCTCACCTCAGAACAAAAGAGAATTGAACCAAATTTGGGAGTTTGGGATTTTATGTTTTTGTTTTGTTTTTCTTTTCTAAAATGAAGTGAGATTGTTCACACACACACACACAAAGGACAGTCATACATTTTGATATTTGAGCCATTCCTAAAGATTTGGGGTTTTCTAAAACTAAAGAATCTAGAAACCTTGCCTGCAACCAATCATGGAGCCACATGAGCTGATCGTGGCTGCACCTGGGGGGAGGGTAGGGAAGAGGGGCATGCCACCTAATGATCAAGCCCTATAATTAGCTTCTCATTAGAGCCGTGATGGTGATGTGTGCTGTCTAAAATCCAATGTTGTGGGTAGAGAGAATGAGTTTGTGACTAGGAGAGACTAAACTTTTGTTTTCCTTACCCAGTATAAATATATATATATATATTTAATCTATTTTTATTAGAAGTTTTTCTGCTCTTTCTTACATAAAAGAACCCCAAGCATGCATCTTTCATGTGTGTAAATAATTCATTTCTGGGCTAATTTCAAAAGAATCCCAACATTGCTGTATAGAAAGAGAACTAGCTTGCACATTTTAGGTCTGTGAAATTTTGTGAGACTTTTCCTGCACTGGACAGTAAAAAAAATAATAAAAGACAAAAACAAATTAAAAAAAAATTTAAGCCACAAAAAAGGCACATAGGGAATTATGTCAAATGTGTTTGTGTCCTTAGGCAAAGCTGTGGGAGTCTTGAAATGTCACAGTAGTAAATAACTTATTACTTTTTGACAAGTTCTTTTTTTCTGTTGGAACACTGAATTCTTCTGTGCATATGTACATATGAATACAAATCGAAGGCCTCTACCTCCTGGAGTTATACAACTTGGCTTGTTTACCTCCACATGCTGATGATGACTATTTTTTTTTTTTTTAAGTTCAGTGTGGAGACTTGAAACTTGAATGTCCCTTCCAACTTTTATATTAAAAATAAAAAGACAAGAAAATTGAAGATCATTTTTCACCTGTACAAGGAATACTAATGGATCGTCTTAAAATTGGTCTAGGAAAAAACCTTGGTGTGTGTTATGGACAATTAACTGTTAAAGTTATTGTAAGTTATCTGTATTTAGCAGAGTATTTTCAACTTGAGTGATCTGAGCTGAATTTGAAGACTATTAATAAGTTATGTTTGGAAGTTTTAACTTCAATGAAGTAATTATTTGCTGTGAAAGAAACAAACATTGAATTACTAAACAAAGATGGTGCAATATCTTTGTTTTTTTTTTATGAGGCTCCTGAGAATCAACCCAACTGAAGCATTTCAATTCACTTGAATGAGAAACGTGTTTAGTATCAAAAGAGCCCAAGAAGACACTGGTGTGAAAGGTACAATCTCAGAGGTTGGTCAATTACCGTGGCACACTTTCTGGTCACTTTGTACAATGTAGATTTGAAGTACAGTGGTGAAAACATTAAATGTGACATTTGAAAAAGTTGTCTCATCTGTTTTATTTCAGTTTCTTTTGTTTTCTCTTCAGTACAACTCGTATCCTGACTTTGCAAAGTTTTGAGACACTTCCTATTTCCACTTTGATCTTTGAGGAAATAGGTTGTTTTTAAAAATCTTCTCAGAGACTTTAGACTGACAACATATTGAAAATTTAGTTAAATCAGTATCAAAGACGTGATTTAAATACACACAATATAGAAGTCTTTTTAGACCTTAGAGTCTCTAATCCAGTGATTTTCAAACTTTTTTTTCTTTGAAGCAATATCTTGGAGTCCAATATATTAAACAAATAAAAGTAGATTGCTTTGTATGAAGCAGACTGGTAAAGAGGGACTTGACACCTCCCTCCTCTTCACTTCTGCCTCCTGCCCCTAGCAGCCCAAAGGTACTTTCAGCTAAGGAAGAAGTCCCAGCCCAGTGTTGGTGTAATCAAGGCCTGAAACCAGGCTGCCTAGCTTCAAAATACTTTCCCTGAGGCTAAAGAAACATTACTCTTGAGTTTGTAGGTGGTGTGTACTTCTCCCTATCTTTTCTTTATTTAGCAAAATGAATGGATTTTTTTTCCTGACATTGAGGCAGTTGACTATTCTAACTCGTGTAAATTAATATAAATACATTTATTATTTTATTCATTCAACAAAATTTTGAATACTTACTAAGAATTACTTGTCAGGAAGCCATATTAATATCACCAATGCTTAGATAAGGAAACCAGTTTCATCACTTACAAGAGATCATTTTGAGTTATACATACCATTTTGAAACTAAATTCTGGCCGGGCATAGTGGCTCACATCTGTAATCTCAGCACTGTGGGAGGCTGAGGTGGGTAGATCACTTGAGGTCATGAGTTCCAGACCAGCCTGGCCAACATGGTGAAACCCCATCTCTACTAAAAATACAAAAATTAGCCAGGCATGGTAGGTGGCGGGCGCCTGTAATCCCAGCTACTCAGCAGTCTAAGGCAGGAGAATCGTTTGAACCCAGGAGGTGGAGGTTGCAGTGAGCTGAGATCGTGCCAGTGCACTCTAGCCTGGGCAACAGAGCGAGATTCTGTCTCAGAGAAAAAAAAAAACAAAAACTAAATTCCTTTACAGATAAGTATTTGGGAAAATATATTGACCTGCTCTTACTGAAACCTACTTAGAAAACCAAGGAGATTTGTTCCTTATTGCTTTATTTTTGGGAATTGCAAAACTGTGGAGTTCCCAAAGCCAATAGAGTCAGTGTGGACAGGTAAGTTAGGGCTATATCACCTACAATTTGTATGCAGTTTGAGAACATGTGGAAGATGCAGATTATCTCTTGCGATGACTCATAAGGTTTAGAATTTTTTTTCCCCTCTATGCTATGTTATTTAAAATATTATTTATATTAAAATAAAAAAGAATAGAAGACAAAATTTGAATTTTGAAATTAAGACAACTTTTAAGATATTTTCAGAAAACAAATTGAGTTTACTATCAACAGAGCCTCACCAAAGGCAGTTCTAAAGGGGACTTACTTTACTTCAAGAAGATGATGTACTTCAAGAGGAAGAAAAAGAATAACTAAAAGCAGATCTTCAAGAATGGTGAACAAAGAAATCGGTGAACACTTGGGGGAAACTAAGCAAACACAGATTGCATATAATAATAATAATATCTGGTTGTGGGGATGATAAATTACAGCAGCATTCTTCAAACTGGGGTGCAGACACCTCTAAGGATAAACGAAGACTCTCCAGGAGGTACGTGGGCACATAAGTTTGTTTGGGTCTGCTTGAGACAGAGTCTTGCTGTGTCACCCAGGCTGGAGGGCAGTCGCAGGCTCAACCTCCTGGGCTCAAGTGAGCCTCCCACCTCAGCCTCCCAAAATGCTGAGATTACAGATGTGAGCCATTCACCCAGCCGAGCACATGTACTTTTAAGAGAGTCAACTTCACTAACTTCTTTTTTTTTTAAGACGGATCTCACTCTGTCACCCAAACTGGAGTGCAGTGGCGCAATCTCAGCTCACCACAATCTCCGCCTCCCAGGCTCAAGCGATTCTCCTGCCTCAGCCTCCCAAGTAGCTGGGATTACAGGCACACGCCACTACCACCCAGCTAATTTTTGTCTTTTTAGTAAAGACGGGGTTCCACCATGTTGGCCAGGCTGGTCTCAAACTCCTGACCTCAAATGATCCACCCACCTTGGCCTCCCAAAGTGCTGGGATTACAGGCGTGAGCTACCGGACCCAGCCATCTTCACTATTTTTTTTCCTCCATTCTCTTTTGGAGTTTTATTTTCACATCCCTCTTCACAGTTATCATTCTCCCACTTATAAAAGAAAGATGAATTTCTTACACATCTTAGGTATTAATGTGGTGCAATATACCTAAGTATAAGAACTTTTTGGGTTGCCAACTAAAGGGACAATTTGAAACAGTTTTTGCTTATAGAGACCTCACCTCTTGCATCTCACTACTGTCAGGTAATCCATCAATCCTGAGAGAGAACCCCTGGAAAGTAAAGCTAAGAGAACATTAGGAAGAAATACTGGGACTGGCGATATTTTATTTCATTCAGGCAGCAAATTTGTGGCACAGCTGTGTCTGACTTAAAATTGAGAAGTGAGATGGTTTTTGTGGAAACATGTATAAAACGAATGTAGACCTTTCCCAATAGAAAGTAAATCGGTTTTGACTGCGTGGTTTGCCAGTTAGGACTTTCCAGTAGTGTATGTGGTAGACGTGTTCTGTAATTAGAACGAGCCTGAATCTACAGCCACAAAGTTTTGGCAAAAATATATTTAAAGCAAAAGATTAAAAATTAACCAAAAATATTGTAGAAATATTGGCGAAGATGTGAAGAAATTGGAATCCTTGTGCATTGCTGCTGAGAATGTGAAATGGGGCAACAGCTGTGGAAAATGGTATGCTAGTTCCTCAAAAAAATTAGAAGCCAGGCACAATGGTGTATGCCTGTAATCCCAGCTATTTGGGAGGCTGAGGCAAGAGGATTGCTTGAGGCCAGGCGTGGTGGCTCACGCCTATAATCCCAGCACTTTGGGAGGCCGAGGCAGGCAGATCACCTGTGGTCAAGAGTTCAAGACCACCCTGGCCAAAATGGTGAAAACCCGTCTCTACTAAAAATACAAAAATTGGCCGGGCGCGGTGGCTCACGCCTGTAATCCCAGCACTTTGGGAGGCCCAGACGGGCGGATCACGAGGTCAGGAGATCGAGACCATCCTGGCTAACACGGTGAAACCCCGTCTCTACTAAAAAATACAAAAAACTAGCCGGGCGAGGTGGCGGGCGCCTATAGTCCCAGCTACTCGGGAGGCTGAGCCAGGAGAATGGCGTGAACCCGGGAGGCGGAGCTTGCAGTGAGCTGAGATCCGGCCACCGCACTCCAGCCTGGGTGACAGAGCGAGACTCCGTCTCAAAAAAAAAAAAAAAAATACAAAAATTAGCCAGGCATGGTGGTGGGCGCCTGTAGTTCCAACTACTCAGAAGACTGAGGCAGGAGAATCGCTTGAACCCAGGAGGTGGAGGTTGCAGTGATCCAAGATGGCACCACTGCACTCCAGCCTGGATGACAGAGTAAGACTATGTCTCAAAAAGAAAAAAAAAACAAATACTAGATAACCAGAAAATATAACAGTCACTAAAAAGAAAAAAAAAGTTATTGAGTTGTACTGAGTTCTACTTTGTGTTCAATATCTGTGTGTGCTGGCCATGGAGATTATCAAAACAATAAAATGTCAAGGTGCCTATGGTTCAAGGGGATGGAAATATAAAGAAATCACAACATGGTTTCAACTCTGCTCTGAGACAGAGTTGAGTGCCCTGGAGTACTCAGGGGTGACAGCTAACCCAAAGCAGGTGAAGTGGTCAGGTAAGCTTCCCTGGGGAGCTGAACTGAGGATAAATTAGAGTTAGCCTGGCAAAAAGAGGTGGTCTGATCTATGCTTTCAGTTAACGCTTTTATGACATGCACACCCATTTTAACGCTTGTACGGGCAAGGCTGTTGACCTTTCTCTTTGTGAGTTCTTCCAGGGTTTTTACTCTCATAAAGCTCTCTTTCCACAAGAGGTCTGATGATTCTGCTTCCTGTTTTTCCACAGTTCGATGTATTTTTACATTTAACTCTTTAGTCTACCTGGAAGTTATTTTGATGATTGGCAGTGGGATGAGACCCTTGTGGAAGGATGAAGAGGCAGAAACAGGAAGAAACGTCTTCATTCTGCTTCCCTTCTTCCTGAGTCGGTGACTCTGGGGTTCCCACCAGTCACCTTCTCTCCTCCCTGTGGTGTTTCAGTGATGGGTGAGTAGGAGGGTGTGTGGCTGCAGCCCTGGGTGATTGGAGGTGATGGTCCAGTAGACCATGTTGGCCTGAAGTAGGAGGGATGCAGAGCAGACTGTTGTGAGGACTGCCAGCATGGGGACTGGACAGGGCAGATAGAGGTGTATGTGCTACCTCTCCCTGCCCATCGCTGCCACCCAACTGGCTTGGCCTCATTCTCTCTGGGAAGCAGCAGGAAGGTGGGAGTGGGTCATTTTCTTGTTTTCTTCTCTCTCTGCTGTCACTTTCCACCCCCCTCTCTGATGGATGGCACAGACTGAGTCACAGCTAATGGCTTTCTACAGAGCCCTTGGAACTAATGAAACTGCTAACAAGTGCCTGGGTAAATGAGTTGCCGCCCCTGCATCACTCTCCCCCTCTATCTCCCTGTTCTGATGAAGGCCATGGAGCAGGCCACAGGCTGCACAGCAGCTCATGGACACTGGAGACACGGAATGGGAATGAAGAATGGGGCCTGTCACCCTAAGCCAGGAAGGCAGGGTGGGGCGAAATGAGAGGGCAGAGGTAAGCACTGGGGAGAAGCATATGTGGAGAGAGAGTTGGTGAGAATTGTGGAGAAGTGTGGGGAGAGGCAGGTGGCAGAGATGTGAGCAAGAAGGAAGAGGCATATGTATCAGGGTGGGGTGGGGTGGATTGATGGTACCCGTCTGTGCC